TTTGTGGCAATTATTGAGTCAAATTCTGTGATTATATATTTGTTATTAAGAATATTCTGGTTATTTGATACAATATTTTGTTTGCTATTATTTTGGTTATTATTGGCGGTATTATTGGTAGAATTGGCAGTATTTTTGTGACAATTATTATCCAATAAGCAGAGTTTTAGGAAAACATTTTCCAACGAGGTTTCCTTAAAGCGGTCGATCATTTTGCGCGGATTCTCTTCGGCCAATAGCCTGCCATTCCTCATGAGTCCCACTTTGTGAGCATTGGTCGCCTCTTCTATATAGTGGGTGACAAACAATATGGTCAGTCCGTCCCTACACCGCATGTTTAGGTATTTCCATATGTTGTGTATTATGAGGAGGTCTATGCCCACTGTGGGCTCGTCCAGTATGACCATGGTCGGATTGTTTAATAGGGCGCAGGCTAGCGATAGTCGCCTTAGTTGACCACCGCTCAGGCTGTTTATCACGCATTCATTTTCTGGTAGTTCTAGTAGTTTTTGGAGTTTGGTGTATCTAGGTTAACATTTAATTGAATACACATTTTATTATTATTAATACTTTAAATTATACATAATTTTAATTTAAAACATAATTAAAGTTAAACCGTTATGTACTGTAAATTTATTGTATAATTTCTGATATTGATATTTATGGCAAACTTGAACTATTCAGTGTGGGTTAACTGGATTCATACAATACTTTAATTTTAATATATGCTGTAAAATAATTAATCTGATTAAATACAGCAAACAAAACCTATTTAAGAATTATTGTTGATAAACAGTAATTATTAATACAGTATAGAAAATAAATTAATTAAAATTATTTACTCAAAACAACTACAATTGTAATCCCCTATTTACAGATAACAATTGACCAAGCAACTTTTACATACCTGTTAGAAAACTCAACGCTAGATATCCTATAAATATGCATAAAATACTGAAGAGTCTGTTCAACAGTGAATTGCATACAAAGTGCACTATTCTGTGGCATATAACTGATCCGACGGTTGGAAGCGCCCGGTTGTTGGCCAAACACCTCGATCACACCATGTTGCACATTCATACGACCCAGTATTAATCGTAACAAGGTGGTTTTCCCACCACCACTCGGCCCTAACAGGGCATATATCTCACCGGCGTTTACTTGAGCGCAAAAGTTATCAAGCACATTATTACGATGGTATTTAAAAGTAACGTTATTTACGGATATTGCACTCATGGTAAATTATTTAGTAAACAATTAAATAAATAAGTTTTTAAATAACAAAAAAAACTATAGATAGATGCTATAAAAACTAATATTAATTTTTGTTGTTAACCACAAATGAACCATTAATTTAATCTATAAGGGTAACTGACTTGTAAGCAAATTTAATCTTGATCATTAATCGTTAACTTGGTTGAAAAAACAAGTTAT